AAAAAAAAAAAAAAAAAAAAAAGGAGGAAAGAATACTGCTTAACATCATTTGTACAATATTTGAATTGAATATTATCCCCTTTTGTTAAAAAAATAGAGAAAAATTGAGGACATGTTTGAGTTTTTGTGTTGTAAATTTTAAATTCAAATGTTGAAGCAGGTGAAAAGGAATTTGAAAAAAAAAAGATTTTTTTATATTATATAACCCATCATCCAATGTAACAAAATATCTTGATAATTATTAAATTATGTCGAAAATATTAACTTCAAATTAATTTAATTACAATAAATAAATATTTTTAGTAGTGTATTATGTAGAAAAACGCCATCGAAAAACAATTTGAAAGGCAGCCTAAATATAGGAATACATTCGCGTAGGTTTGTGTTTATTTTATTTATTTATTTATTCATTATTATAGTTATAAAATTTATTTTAGAAATAGAACATATAAAAAAACTATAATTAGTTGTTTCTAAACACATTTTTATTAATTATTTAATGTCAATCTTTATTCACTAACAATCATAATAATTAGCAGTTACTACTCGTTACATGCTTTTTGCACTTGTTACATGCTTTTTGCTAACTGCCATCCCAACTCTTTATCCACTGAACTTTATCATATCAAATAGGTTTTTAAGTGGTATAATATGCTAAGTTCTGCACATAATCTAATTTGCACCATTTGGTTTGATAAAAAACAACACATCTTTGTAAAAACTAAAAAATTTATGAAAAATTATCTTTTTATTAACTTCTCCAAAAAATAGAATCAAAGCATGGAGTAAAAATTCCTTACATTTTGGCTAACACACTTGGGTAATCTTTGATTCTTTGTTTACTTGTCAAAACTGAAATCTAATTAACTTGAATTTCTATTTTAATTTTGTGTTTCTTTTTTAACATTTGATGAGCGATTATAGAAAAAGAGATAGTCTTTCTCCTTTCGCAAATCCCTTCCCTACTCAACTTCACATTAAACCTAAGATTTTCAACTTAAAATCTCAAAATCTAATTAATTAAGTCACCCCTATGAGTCTATATATTTCAATATTGTGTACATTACAATTACCTTATCCAAAATCCTCCAAGAAATGCGCATCATTTTCATTATTCATTCCCTAGACCCACACATACCTCATATATAGATTTTCATCTTGAGTTATGCTCTAGCAACTGATCGGTCCCAAGCGGATTGGTCCCTATATCTATATTTTTTTTATAGGTATAATAACTTTTAATTTTTATTTTTAAGTCTTGTGATTTTAATTTTTAAATTATTAAATTTTAAATTTAAATATTAAACATTAAAACTTAATAATATAAACCCTAACACATAAATTTTAAATTTTAACTTGCACTTTAAATTCTAAATTCTAAAAAAATTTAAACCATAATACCCTAAATATTAGTAAAATTTAAAAATTTTAAATCCCGAACATTTTAAGTATTGAGATTTAAAATAATCTAAGCCCTAACATGCTTAAAACTAAATTTTAAATAAGGTTTGAAAGCTAAAAAACAGTTAAAAAATTGAGGGACTAAAATGAGTCTAAGTTGCTAAATTAAGGGACTAATTCTTAGTTTAACCATAACAAAGGCAGAAGAAATTAACAGAGGAGCTGGACTGCCACATACCATTTGACCTCAATCGATCTTGCAGACTGCCGGTCTCCTAATAATTATCTATCTTTTTTGAGGAAAATAATTATTTATTTTAAAATATAGCCATATAAAGCTTGAAAAAGGAAGATATTTCTTATAATTAATAACGATAGATCACCGAACTCTTTGAAAATGCATGAGTTAATGTGAATCATGCATTCAATATTAGAATAGAATAAAATGTGTAAAAGAAGATATATATGGTGTGTACATGTGTGTTTTTGGTCCAGAATTTAAAAAGATCTTATATAATGTAAAAATTGAAATTAAGTTAAATGTAATTCTTTTATTATTAAGTAGTGCATAGTATTATTATTCATAAAAAAAAAATAAGAGAACAAAGATTAAAACATAAAAAAATTTTAAAATGTAAACGAAGTAACCTTTTTTAAGATTTTAAAAACTCTTAAAATATAATAAAATAAATGAAAACTTTTTTAAAGTGTAGATGTGAAAGAATATTAGGAATGAGTTAAATAATGAAAATAAATTTAAACTTTTTTTTACATAAACAATGAATCAATTTGTTAGGTCTATCTGGGAGGACATATCCATACCTGGAAGAAACATATTCATTGAACATATATGTCTAATGATGATGTCTAATCATTCACCAAAAACCATGTTTGTTTAATCAAACATCCAAAGGTAACAATCTTTAACCTCATAGGCACCATTTCCATGTCTTCCGTCACTGTTTGGTTAATTTAGTAGGATGGTCCTTAAGGTTTGATTTATTAATCAAATGGTCACAAATTTGCATATCTTGATAATGCTTTTCCATCACTCAATTTCACACACTGTTAGAATTAATTTTATGAAGTAGTCCTTGTTTCATTTGATCATAATATATTTCAAGGACTAATATCTCATGTCATAAATTTTGTCCACTTTTAAATCAACACTTTAGATTATTCAATATTATTTTTTTATGCAATTTTTACATGTGATTAAATAAATGAATGCAGTTAACAGTAAAGGTCATAAATTAATGAATAAAAAAATAATAATTTAAATTATACGTAAAATTTTATCAAAATGTGATACAAAAAAGTTGTCTCTAAATTATTTCTTTTTTTTCAAAGGTGAGGATTTCAAAAATAATTTTTTTTTGTCCAAACCTATTGCTTTTGGAATAAATCTTTTGCTGATAAGATTTTGAATTTGATGATTTTTATCAATTTTTAAATATTCTAGGACACTTATTTTGCGCAATTCATATTAATTATGAATTATCTCCAGCTATAAAAACCATAAAAAGCAAATAAAATAAAATGTTGAATGACATAGCAGTGACTTGATTCATCTTTTGTTTTTGATCAAGTCGTTTCTTTTCTTTCTTTTCTTTTGAACACAAAACAATTACTTAAACATAGGTATGTTGTTGGATATCTTTTCAAACATCAGAGATTAAGGGCATTTTGATATATAAAAAGTAGTTAAGTTTCTTTCTAAGTAATTTCTTATCCTACAAATTTTACAAATTTATTTGAAAAATAATTTATAAATAAGTTTTCAAAAAGTTAATTAGGCTAAATTCAAAATTTCATCCAACATATTTTTAATTTTATAAGAAAAAAATTGTTTTTAAACTCGGCAAACACATGCTCTAATCTTATAGCTGTAATGCATAATGTAAATCGAAGTATGTGAAGGGAAAAATATTGTCTTCCATACCTAAAGCATTTTTTTCCAATTCCTTAGTGCCTTTTCTTTGCGTTTATGCATGATTTGAAACAGGCGTGAAATCACATGCTTGAACTCCTAGAAGCAAGAATGTCGACGTTACTTATTCATTATCTTTAATTTGGACCTAGGAGACAGTCCAACAATTTGAAAATGTGATTTCAACGTTTTTACATTCAAACCTAAGATAAGTTCGTTTTATTTAACCGAACTAATTAAATTTTTAGATTAGATAATAAGTTTGGTTGACCACGTACTCTTTTGTTTTTTATTACTATTATTATTCAGTTAATTTGGTTTATATCTTATTGGTTTAGTTAAATTAGATTAACCAAATTCGATGAAACCAGCAGAAATAACAGAAATACCTGTGAAATTCCGTTAATTTTGAACAAGTATATTTTTATTATGTGGTTAAACCTCAATAGTTGCATCCATAATTGAAATTTTTTTATTAAATTTAATTTTATCCAAATTAGTGCAATCTAAGGTTGTTTGAGAACGTTGGGTTATAACTAGAATTTTATGTTTTTAAAATAGTAAAATGACAGAAGAATCAAAAACTAAATTACCGAAACATTTTGAAAGAAAGCATAAAAAATTTTGAGATGGTTTAAAATGTTAGATAATTTCGTTATTCAAAAGACAAGTCACTCTTTAATGAATGAATAATGATCAAAATGATCAAAATTTAGAACTAATAATATAGTATAAGTTATATTATTTAAAATATTAAAAGATAAATTTTATATTATTTAATGATTGATTTTTTTAAAAAAATTCATGATATTATATATATTAATTAATTTA